ATTCAAAAATACAAGTAGTTTAGTAGTTGGAGCATTTATTTTTCATGATGGTTCAAATTACAATTTCGCATAATTAGGGTACAATATTTAAAATTAATTAATAATGACCATATGCTATAGTTGATAGTAACATGTATTTGTGCTAAAATATCTAATTCATCGTATTTTAGTGTATAAATATATTCAAAAACAATATGTACAACAATACGCAAGTTAAAATTTTGATTTAGAAAAAAACATTAATTGGTACGCGGTATGTTTTTTGCACAATTGTATGAATCTTACAGAAATATTTCTTCTTGGCCATAAAATTTAAACGAGCTATTTTCTTAAATCTAGTTTTAAAGTAGTCAAAAATAAGCTGATGTACTAATATTGCTATTATAAAACATTACATTTTTAAGAAGAATCAATTTCATTATAAGTTCAATGTGAATAATACTAATTTTAATCGTAAAAAAAAATCGGACACTAGTAAATCTGCTTATTTTTTAATATGCGGCTCGCATAAACCATGTAATACCCTTATTAAATCTAATGTTATCTCAGCGCGCTTGTCTTATAGATCAGCATTAAGTTTTTTTCATTCGAGTACCATCGACTTTCAGCGGATATGTCTAGCAATGAAGAAAAATCTTGTCCTTTTGTTCCGATCTACCCTGCCGTAGATTTATCGCTCGGCTTATCCCCAAGACTTTTTCCCCGGTGGAAATACACCCCTAACAAAAGCTTTCTTTCGTCTTTAAAAGGAGAATATTGAGCTTTAGCACTCATGTACCGCAAGGGAATCGAGCGAGTTTGCAGATATATAGAAAAAGAAAAGATCGCGATATCTATGTGTAATGCCACGACCCAGTGGAGTTTGATCCGAAGAGAGCACACACGTGATACATTCTTTTTTCCATATATTCTCTTCCCCTCATAACTTTGAATTATAGAAAACGATATAAAATAAAACTGACAAGAAAAAGGTTATGCATTGTATTTCATAGAGGATGGCATTTGGTAGGAAAGTTTTATAGAAGAAATTCGTGAAAATGTTCCAATCATAAAAGAATTGTTGGGGGAGACGTTATAAAGTTTCATATGTCGATCACAATATTGGTAGATTATTGAAAAGCTCGTACATAAGTCATAAGTAGGATATATATGTATCTTGAATAGAGCCGTTTCTCCAACGAAATGGTCATCACCACAGATTCACGAGATTGACTATACACTATTGACTTAAGTGGTGTCGGTTTCTTGGCAAACCGTCGGTTTAACATTGCCGTGTCCGTTGTAATTAGATGCCGACCATGGTGCGACCACAAATGTCTCGCTAGATTGTTAGATACACCCAGCAGTGCCCTCATAAAGCGTTGCATAGGAGTATAACTTGCCCACAATGCAATTCAGGAGTTGAAATTCAACTATTTAAATAAAATGCAAGTAAATAATTTAAAGCTCCTTCCACATGTTTATTCCTTGTTTGATTTCATCAAAGTTGAATTACCAACTTGAAGCAAATAAGATTGCTTCTTAGTCACGATACGTGTATCCAATGTGCGAAGCTTTTAGGAAATTTGTTACAAGACCGCAATACGACCGCATTAGTCCTGAAAGCTTCTTGGCGTAATCTCGATGCGTAATTATAGCTTTCCTATGGGGTGGACGGAAGACAAGCTCTCTAAGAACCGGATTGTGTTAATAATTAATACTGAAGGGAAAAGTTGCAGATGTTATTTATGCCAGAAGATATAAACCGGGAGGAAAACACATTAGTGATGGTAAAGTATCACATGCATATTGAAAACAACTGAAAATAAGCATAAATAATATA